CAATTAAGTTTCAGTGGGGGGGGGGGTAGGGGGGTTTGGGAAAAAACTAAAGGAATTAAGTTTTTTATCCGACATCGAATCTTTTGACGTCGTCCCTAAGTAAGTAAAGATTTGGGAGATCTGCCAACGACGTATAAAATGTATCAGGAATTCAAATCCAGTAATAAAATAAAATACAGAATCAAAAAAAAAATATATAATCAAAGAATAGTGAAATACAAACAGTATAAATATGTTATGTAATGTTAGAAAGAAATTACAATATTTCACAGAAATACCAGATTTGTTTGTTTCTCGCGACAGATTGCTTCGATAATATGTGAACTTTATCAGTTGTAGATGAAGCCAAACCTTACCGTCATCCCCCCTATGTACTCAACCATGTACGACATAATTGTTGTACCACTGATAGCAGCTTCCAATATGACTTGACATGTTTTATCGGTGGTTTAAGTTACATTTATACAGCATCCTTTGACCTAATGGGTCAAGTTGGTTATTAACTAATCAGAATGCTGTGTTGTACAGACGCAATTCTTCGGAATTCCCGAAGACTTTCCGGTAACGCAATGCGGAAGTGAATAATCGATGTCGAAGTACGATCTGTTGGAATTGATTTCAGCGAATAAACGACATGGTTTTTCCAAAAAAACTAGTAATTAGCCATTTGTGAGAGGTAAACTGAATATGGCATGAAATATTTACCGCATTTTACTTGTATTAACAGGTCATTGTCGAAGCGTAGGTTACACACGGTTACCGTGTTCTACGCATTCACATGTTCACAGCGGTCGATATCCACGCTGTATCATATAAAAACGATTACCAAGATTCGTTACGCAAGACCAAGTTTTAAATTAGTTGCATTTTGAAGGGGTGGGCGCTTTGCCGAATGTGACCCCAAATATAAAAATTGCGCAAAAGTGGGGGGGGGGCGCTTGCCCGGGCATGGGCGCTAACGCGGTCGAGTACGGTAATTTGTATAATTTTAGACATATTATGTTGCAATGAAACAAAATAATCAATATATCAGCAGAAAATTGGAGACGCTCATGGCATTTACTTATCTTCTGAAATTAGACTAAGTGTTGCTGAATTGATTTTTGAAAATAAAAAATAGAAATACAAACATTGTATTTACCAACTCAATATTTAAGAGCATTTCACTGGAAGTTATCTATCAAGAATCACTTGGATGATTGATTGCGATAATCAAGAACACATATGCCTTGATTATTTTTTTATGGATGATGGATGCTAAAAGTGCAATTG